TGGAAAAACAGCAAATCCTGACAATTAAGGAGATGAAACCACCTGTTAGATTTTTACTGTTACTTAACTAATGAATTAAATGACCAATAATAAATGACCATATTTAGTTGAAGCTCTGCTTGCAATACGGATCACACAATTTAGTAAAATGATGTGACAATATGTTCAACAACATGTAATTAATCTAATCCTTGATAGACGATACTGTATTTGCCTGAATGAAGGATAGTTTTTTTCCAGAAATTACATGTGAGAAAGCGGAGCTCATCTTAAATATGACAACTAGACAAATCAGATTCTTGAGTGAGTACCACTACAGAGCATCTTGCACTGTACTGAACTACATAAAGACAAAAAAAAGGAAGATGTTGAAGAAGCTGAAAAACACTGTTCAATCTAGAAAAGAACATGTCTTTACTACAAAAGCTCTAGGATCTACACCACAATATGATTAGTTACCATCGCAAATAAATCAGTAAGTGGCCCCAATGGTCACTTCCATCCACACATCCCCACTCACACAAGGAGTAAATCTTTAAAATGCAAAAGGAAAAAAAAAAAAAAAAATCTATTGAATGCTCATTTATTCCCCAACTCGTTACACCAGGCCAGATGTGACCCAGTAAAAATCACTGACACTTTTGTCTAGTCATCGAGAAGCAGACAGACACACACACACACACACACAAAAAGGACATTCCTGTGTGATGGATGGCTGATGAAGAGCTACAGTCATTTTGACACAGGATTCATCCTCAACAAAGAGCTGATGTCATCCTGAAAAACTGACCTCAAGTATCAATGACATCTCATAAAGATCATTCCTTGACACTTAAATTTAGAACAGGTTAGAATTGTGATGTTGTGTATGTGTGTGAATGTTGTTCAGCCCACGTTATGCAAGAATTATATGCTGTGCTCTGCCGCCTTTGGCCATTTAATCCCCATGTTCCTGTATTCATTCCATCACGCAAACACACTGGAGATTAGAAAAGGCACAATGTATAGCCACTAATTCTTTTTTCTTTTTTTTCTTTACTTAGCACAAAAGTAACACACCTGTTAACAGTCTGCACAGAATAAACAGAAGTGAATGTAATTTCAGGACATGCTATTCAGAGGCACATGCTAAAAACCAACCATTTACCACCCATCATGCCACCACCACACACACACACCTTTACACGGTACAGTGGGAAGGCACAGCATGACCCAGCACTACAGTGTAATCTTAGTCACATGCTGCCTACAGCAAACAGGGCCAGGAATCCATTTCTGCGACCCAGTTCAGCTCAGTGTGCCTGTTCTTGGCCCAGCTTGGCCTGACATCCTGTGAAGTGATCCTTCGCTCTATATCCTTTTACTGCAAGTCATAGTGACCAAGTTTTCAAGTACAAATCCTGCCGCAGATGATCACTAAATCTACATTCAGGTAAAACAGGTTTATCACCATCGTGAAGTTAATTTCTTCATGTTTTCGGTGTCATGTAAAGAGTAACCTGGCTGCTGTAACTGTGGAGAGAGGATTAAGAGGAAGCAACACCTGTGATGATTTGATTTCAGTTTAATGTACAAGCTGAACTTCACTGCAGAAAAACTTCCTTAACAACTGTTCTTATGCACCTTTCAAGTAAACTGAGAGGAACAATATATTTTTTAGCCCGCTTTACAGATTAACGCCTGCACAGCTACATGCACTGACTCACTGAACAACAACGGGAGAAAGAACCTGGTCAGTAATTGTACATAACACCTGTCAGGATGCCTGATTCTGAGAAGTCGTACTGGAAAATCAAGTCCGACATAAAGCTCTAAAGCTGACAGTAAGCTGTAATTATAGTGCATCTTTTAGCTTGAATCATGGTCAATATATATATAATATAAAGTGATAGTATAAAGGTGGTGTGTGCTACCAACACTGATGAGACAAAAATCAAAACAAAGGAAAGAGGGGTTGCACAATCTTAGTTCTGATACAAAAAGGACTTAAACATATTAACTACAAGGTCTTGGATGTAAAATTAGAGAATCCACAATAACATCATAATTATTATCCTTATCATCACCACAGGTCAAAATGACTAATGCCTCTCACCAAGACATCTATAGTCATAAAGGCTTTTGATCCAGTCAGTTTTATATTTATATAGTGTCAAATAAAACAAAGGTTATCTCAAGGCACTTTTTATACAGAGCAGGTCTAGACAGTACTTTTTATAAAATTGACTACAGAGACCAAACAATTCCCACCATGAACAAGCACTTGGCGATGGTGGCGAGGAAAAACTCAAGAGAGATGATCATAAAGAGGAAGCAGGAGAGGTTTGGGAAATTTACCTGTGCAGTAAGCACTGGCGCCCCCGCAGGGATGTGAGCTCTCACAACATGACTGTACCTCTCAGTCATCCTCATGAGTCTGTCCTAAAAGTGCAAATAACATAACTGCCATCTGTCACATCTGAAAAAGTGACAATTCTGCACGAAGAAGTGAGGCTGACTGCTGCTGGGCTATCTGGATAACTAAGAAAATCTGAAACCCTCCTAACATGTTCAGCTGGTAGGTGTTGGGTTCCATTTCTATGGCTTTCTTTTTACTTTCTTAGTTTTATACCTTTTGTATTATGCTTTTATATACATATACACTGAGAGTTAACTGAGACCACAGTCAAATTCTTTATGTGTGTGAGCACACTTTGTCAATAAAACTGATTCTAGCCATTTGCTTGGGTTGCAGAGCAACTCAGCAGGATACTAAATCCAGAGAGAATTGAAAGAAATTTAGAGCTCAGACAACCACCTCTTCCACAGCTGGTTAACTTTAAAGTTCACTGTTGACAGCAGTAACTTCACAAAGTACCGTGCAGGAGTATTAAAAATAAACACTGGTGGAGAGGGACTGGCACCAATCTTGGCCAATGTCTCACATGCCAGGGTGCCACAAGACAAGATACAATTTACCAGTCCTGAGTCCTGTGCAGAGTGCAGGGACAGGTGCAAAACTTAACACCCAGCATGCAAAATTCAGTACTGTGTACATAGACTGAGCTGCCATAGCTAACACTCTGCAGATGCTCAAAAACACAAACACATAAGCTAATTAAAGAACACCCACATTAAGCCTAGCATGCAAGTTTAATTTAAAAATGAATAAAATACGACCATATACCACTCATCTCAGCATTCAGGCTGTTTTCAAACCAGTTTCTCGGTTCAAGGTTGCTTTTACTGTCCCTGAAAATAGAAAACTATCTTGGATTAAAGGAATTAACAGAGAACAATCACTGAAGATACTTAATTGATTTAAAAAAAAAAAAAAAGAAAAGAAAAAAAACCTTACACATGAAACACTGGTATAAACTTAACATTTCGATCAGTTACAAGTGTGCAAACAGACATCGCACCTGCATGCCTACAACCACACACTGAACCCTCTCAGTGCTATCCGTGCTCTGCTACCCTTCAGTCTCTCCTCCTAGAGCTGGTGTTAATAAGTATAACAGACAGAGGGACAAATGAATGTAACGATTGTGCTTACACAATGGGACCCTGTACCTCTTACTGGAATTCACAGGCTCATACACAGAGGTTAATACATGAGAAAAGTCAGACACAAACCTAATGGGCTGCCAAACAGTTGCCTGCCCAGAAATGTCTTGGGGGTATGAGGTGTGGACGTCTTCATGATCTTCCTTGTAGCCTATACCAGACTAAGAATTTGAGCCTTGAATTTGACTATTAGGTTTCCAAATCAGCTGTTACTACCATGACACAAGGATGGCATAATATTCTTCTGCAAACCAAAATAAAATGAAAACAGACGTGTGTGTGTGTGTGCTCTCTCAGGTCGCTGTGTATATGAAGCTCTAAATATTCATAAAAAAAAGTGATACCACACATGACACCAGTTTGTTGACTGACTACAGGACATCTGGATACAGAATTTGTGATATTGAATGGAAACTGTCAGCGCAATGTTTTCTCTGGCACATGGCCGAAGCAGAATATTGCTATCTCCCATCCTTAACAGCTGGCAAACGGGGGTAACTAAGTACTGACTTAGGGTGCCCAAACTTTTTGACCAAATTTACTGTTCAATTATTTTCTATTATAAGTTTATAAAATAAGAACATCTGTAGAATTAACCTTTAATGTCTGTTTGCTGAAGGAGTTGTATTCACTTCTGTTCAACATATGGAATTTTCACAGAGGTGCCCACACTTTTGCATAACACTGCATTTGAGATCTCACAAAGACTGGGCCCAATTCCAGACTCCCAAGGGAGGCAGCATCTTTACCCAACTGCATTACAAGGTTACTTCTATACTCTGCACATTTGAACTTACCTTTTTAATGAAGTGTGTTTGACAGATGCACAAGATCACATACTGTACACACACACACACACGCGCACACACACACACCTGCCCAGCCACGTTTCCAGGAAAACCCCCATCATCAACAGCCAATAAATCCTAATGGCCAAATAAGCTCTTGTGTCCCAGATTGTGCTACCTGGTAGCTGCAGTTTCTTACCAGCTCTACCTATTGGGGGTCTCATTAATTTAAATGGTACATGACAATATCAGTTAGCCTTCCTATTGCAAGTCGCAATTAAACCCCCATATCTAAAAACCTTGAGGCATCTGACCTAGACAACATAAAGATAAGTAGTTCCTGTGTGAAATGTATTTTTCCACGCTGCTTTGTCGTGCTAAATAAAGACATGGAAGATAAAGAGGGGAGGATGAGTACGGCTAATTTGGCCTTGTGTTTCACGGTTACACTTGAGCATCAGCAGACACACGGTCATGCCGGTGGGCCCATGAAGTCCTCCAGCTACCAGAGGAGACACCTTTACATCTCTGAGCGTGTTAACGGCTGCCAGTTAGAGCCCCGGCTGCGGCGACCAAAGCACGACTCTCCACATGTCCTACTTCCTAACATCCACATGTGCGTTAAGTCTGTCTCACAGGATTAAAAATGGCACGTTTTGTGCTCACCTGCCTGGTGAAAGAGAAGACGGAGCCCACTTCCCTTCTCAGCTAACCGTTGGCTCGTCCCCGTGGTTTGTGTTGTTAGAGCTGAGCGGACGGAGGGCAAAGATAGCCTTCGTTTGATACCGGAGAGCAGCCCACACACAGAGAACGGAGAACGAAGGACCGGAGGACCGAAGAGATGAGACCGTCCTCAACCCAGATTCTTCCGAGACTAGCTGGTTCTCCGCCACAAACGCGGGTATAAACGAACGACAGACAGTCCGTGGAGGGATCTCGCCTTTCATAAAGCCACGGGGTTGACTCTCGTCATTACGCACGCCCACGTCCGCCCGTGACGTCAAGGACCTGCCTCTCGCCCAGCCTTGGAACCGCGGCTCAGCCAATCAGCAGCAGTCTATCAATGACACAGTCCTACCTCCCTCCGCCTTGTAGACCCATAGTATAGACCTCAGTGCCTGCAACAGTTTTTGTAATAAAAAGCGCTTCTTGCATAAGCAGCGCCTGTTTTTTTTTGTTTTTTTACTGTTGCTTAACCAGCCCGTTGACTGACCTCTAAAATATTAAAATAGGGTCTTTCTGCTCGTCTTCCACCTTCCAAGCGCCTCTAGGTATATGTCCTCCACCACACTGCCATCTGATGGTTGTGTAACTGCACTGCTTTTATCGGCCTACATTCACACATGGTCGGACCGGGTAGTGATCCTGGCATAACCCAGTTGGCACAAGGTTGCATAGCAGAGCCAAACCAGCAAAGCAGCTAAGTATATTGATCTGAGTACTGTTCTGATTCTTGAGATACTTGTATAGGGACATTCATCCACCACTGCCAACAAGTGTCAAAAAGTTTGCTGTGTGATAAGGTTGCATTATATATTGTACATTTTTGGCATTTTAAGCTTTTACTGATGGTAAAGGTTGCTGCATGGTATCAAGTAAATACAAGAGTTGACATTTTGTAATAAAATATGGTATTTCGCACTGGTATTTGAGATATATAAATCAGGAGTCAAAAAGATTGCTCAATCAAACCATATACCAGACTTCTTTAACCTGAACCAAGAATGTTTTTTACTAAGGTACATTGTCACATACTATGTAGGAAAATTCACATGTTCATTCTGCTTTTTTAGCTCAAATAAGTCTTTATCAGTCAGATTCTGTGGCATCTCTGCTGGAGTATGCTAACATCAAGGCTGTAGTAATTTGGTGAAATGATGCTTGGAATACCAACCACCTACGTATAATGATCATGGTCATTTTTCCCACTTGGGGACAGAGAAACATGGCATGGCACATTACCAAACAACTGACTAGGCCATTGTTAGGAGCAACATCATCATTTATTTTGAGTCTGTCTCAGAACAAAAAGACCGGTAGGCCCAAGATGACATCCCTGTTTCTTCCAGACTCATCAATGTGAATGTTTTAGTTAATAATTAACTTGTGTTGACTTACTAAACAAAATGTGTTTCACAATAGGCCTGATATAAGCACAGTCAATATAAAGTAATTTAACAAAGGTTGTAAAACCAGATTCAAGAAGGGGGGCTCCAGATTAGATAAATATTCAAGTGTCACATTGAGGCTTTTTTAATTTCAGTTTGTTTTGTGCTGACGTGCATAGAGTATTACCAAATACATTAGCAATTTAGCAAGTAATCAATTGATTGTTCAGTGCATAAAATGTCAGAATACAGTGAACAATGCTTATCCTTAATTTCTGAAGCCTAATTAAACATAGTATAATTGCTGTTTTAGTCTTATCAAAACAAATACGTAAACATTGAGGTTTTATTTCATAGAAAACTGGGCGAAACTAGCAAATAATGAGATCTGAGAAGCAGGTACCAGTGAATTTATTTGGGCATTTTTGCTTAAACAGAACTCAAACAATTTCGTGTGTGTGTGTGTGTGTGTATCTTACATAGGCTACTTTCCATGTAAAGACTGCATCCTCAACTGGGAGCTGATCTTTGAGTCGGTGGTGAGGGGTTAGGGGTTAGGGGTTAGGCAAGCACTGGTTATGGTTAGGTGTAGGGTAAGTCTCTAGGGAATGAATGGAAGTCTATGTAATGTTCCCAAAAGTGACCTATGATGTGTGTGTATGTGCGTGCGTGCAGTGGCAGTTCATCCAGTGTGAGCTTGATAAATGAGTTGATGAAGGACAACAATTAAGATTTGTTGTGTGTGTGTGTGTGTGTGTGTGTGTGTGTGTGTGTGTGTGTGTGTGTGTGTGTGTGTGATGTCATTTGTGATGACGGATCACATGCTGAGCTGCATGGATTCCCTGATCAGCCCGACAAGTGATAAACAACAAATTGTGGGAGTTCAGTCAGGGACACTTATGTCAAGAAACTGACAGTTTATAGCAAATGTTTATAGATTTGTCAGGGATTTGTCTCTGCTGTTTGGACAGGAGCAGCTGTTGTAGCTGATGCAGGTGCAGCTACTTTATATACAGTTTGCTAGTTTAGTTCAGCCATTCACAACCTAGGGGTCCGGCCCCTCCATAGGTTCTCAAGATTAATCTGGGGAGCTGTAATATTATTGGGTATTGATTTTTTTTTCTCTAATCTTTTATTAGTGAGAAATATTGGATAACTTGATCTCTTTGGGCCTTAAACTGTTATTTAAATGAAACTATCTGAGAACGTCTCATTGGTGGGACAACTGACAACTTATATATATTATATAGCTGAAATATGACAAGTTGTTCAGTATTGTATTCTATTGTATTTTATAAGCTTATATGTTTTTAAATGTAAAATCACAAGTTAAAAAGTAACTACAGCTGTCAAATAAATGTAATGAGGCATAAAGTATGATATTTCTATCTGAACTGTATTGGAATATAAGTATAAAGTATCACATACACGGTGCAAGCAAATTTCACACCTCCCATTTGCTGACAAAACATTCTTGTTTTAGTTTTTGATGTGTCACAGTTTCTATACTGATGAAACTCTTGCCAGTTCACTTACTGTTGGTTGACCCACATTTGTTTTTTTTTGTTTTTTTTGCTGCTCTATCATCTGGATGCAGAAGGGAAATGCAGTGAAGGGACACATTAAAAAGGAGAGCTTGCAGCTGTTGACAGCATCTTTAATCAGCCGACATCACAAAGGTCTTACCGTACTGTACATAATACTGCGGCACTTAGAGTCAGCATGCTCGTAGATACTGAGGAACCAAGATAAAGCCTTAATTCAGCATAAAAGAACACACTTTCAGCAGTCCTTTTGTATCTTCACAGTACCGTACAGACTCACTTTTCCAATCTGACCAGCTTAACGTAATCTTTCAAAATACAAAAAAAGAGAAATCTTTGAATAGTCCATTTAAATTCTGTGAAGAACTGTTACTAAACATAATGTTAAACTGAGTAACATAGAGATTTCTTAAACAAATATTCAATTCTGGTCCTAGTCCATCACCCAGTTCAGTACAGAGGAGACCAATACAACATAGGATATATAACTATTCACTATACATATATACATACACACTGGTTTCCATCGGCGGTGTATCAGGTGCAGGTATCTACAGAGCCTTAATTTCAGGCGCATATAATACATAGTCATAAAATTGTAGTGCAAGCTAATTCCACATCACATATTTGAGGACAAACATGCTTTAGTTCATTTCCTTTTTTTGTGTGTGAGTGTGCTGCGATTTTTTTTCCTTGCTTCTGTGTGTGTATCTGTGTGTGTGTGTGTGTGTGTGTGTGTGTGTGTGTGAGTCAGAGAGAGAAACGAAGTGTATTAGTGTTAAAGCTAGTGTCCTTGTGTGCTCAGGTCAGTGGATTATTGTAAGCCTCTTCACTCCTTGTTGGTTGTTGATCCTTTTTGTCTGACGATAAAAGCTCAAGGAGACTCATGTGTTGCCTCATTGAGGACACACACACACACACAAAAAAAAAAAAAACACACTGGATTGATGAGAATTTTACCCAGGAAGTTCTTCTTCAGTCTGTAAATCCTTTTAATCCAGAAGCAGTTGCAAGATGCAGTTAAAGAGCGCAGTGAAAAAGAGAAAAAAAAACTTCTAGCTTCTGTTTCTTTACAGTACCTACATTATGTGCCAGATGGCAGGATGTCATGTTTTAGTGAGGAGTAGTTTGAGGTGTGTGGGGGGGTGTGTTGCATTTGTGTGTGAGTTGTGCACGTGGGCTAGTGGAGGAGGAAAACGACCGAGAGAATCTTGAATCCTTAAATCACATTCTCAAACAGCTGCATGGAGTTCATGATATTCTCGTCCTGGAAAAAAAAGATAAAAGACAAAAACATTTGTCACCAGAAGTCTTAAGTAAACAAATTTCAGGTAGATTTGTTTTAAAAGTTTAGACATAATACTTTTGGGGTTTTTTTTATCAAGTGGCCAATGTGAAAATGTAGTTTGCGGTCAAGTTTTAATATGTTAAATATGTGCAGTAAATGGCATGTAGAGCACAGGAAAGGCCTGATCAGACTCACTGAGCATATTAAAGACTTTCTCCTTTTTGCAAGTCTTTTGAGACTAAATTAAAACTAAATTAAATAAATTCAGTATCAGTAATTATGAATATAAATCTTCCACCATGTCCTGTTGATAACAGCGGGCCTGGAATATGTAATTCTTCTCGGTATGGAAGAATAGCACATACACAGTCATGTCACAACAGCTGCAAAGTTGCAGCAAATTAACTGACCAATGTTTGAATTTGAGGTAAATTAAACACATAGATAATCTCAAACTGAATATTCGGTTATTATCTATTAACCCCATGTGAGTCAGAACTCCACTGATGTTTACAGACAACCAAACACAACATAGGTGAGCCCACATAGTTTAATCTCTCATGAAACCAGGGGAAAAAAATCACAAGTCTCCAAACAGCTTGTACATTAACATAATTCCACAGCAACAGCAAACATTTGCCTCATAATACCTACACCTATCCATTACGTCAGAGGGTAAAATCTTCCACTGTAGCCTGTAGATGTCAAGTAGAGTTTTACAGCTTTTGGAGCTATAACAACCTGTTTTTGTTTTTCAGCTACAATTTGGCAGAAAACACACAGAGACATGTCTTCAGTGGAGTTGTGACTGACATCATCGTGTACAGCAGTCATGTAGATTCATGCAGGTTAGGTCTGCTGACTCACCCAAACACAAAGAAGCAAATAATAACCTAAGTCATGCACGAAAATATGGTTTGATATTGTGAATTTGAAAGAAAAAAATGACGTGTATGTATCATGAGTCATTTTCACCGTCGGTGTTTTATTTAAACTTAAATTCTCAAAAACCAAATTCAGACTGAGGCGTAGTCTCTCAAAAATAAAACACTAAACCTTACTGAAGCAGTGCTGAAAATATTACATCTTTAGCTGAACAAAAAAAAAGGATTTAATTTAATGATGCAGTACACCTCAACATGAAAATAGACTATTGTGGTTTCTATCGATCACAAAAACTACCACCAACTAGTAACAGGATTAAAGGTGAATTGATTTAAAAATAAGTGCACTAAAATAAGAAGGGAAGAGGACGGCTGTGGATATGATTCAGGAGGGAGTAGGGAAACATGAATGTGGATAATCTTAGTCAGTGCCTGATTAACCAGTGACACCCTGTTGTCACTGACACTGAACCAGGGTCAGTGGCTTGTTGGGCAGTATTTGCGTGCATGAGTAACTGTGACTTTTTGAAAGTGCTGCTCATCTGTTTGTGTGAGCGAGTGGGTGAAAAAGTGTGAGTCACCTTCTGACAGGTCTCAATGAACTCTTCAATGGTCACTACACCATCGCGATTTTTGTCCATTTTCTGTGAGGAGAAGAAAGAAGAAAGAAAACAGGACACATGTGACAGCATTGTTTTGGTGCTTTGTCATTTTCCTAAACTGAAAAGAGGCCTTGTGGCACTGTATACTTTTTATTTGTGTGCGTTCAGAACCTGGAAGAACTTGTCCACATGTTCGGAGGGCGCTTCATCTCGCACACTGGGGTAGGTGTATCTCCCCATCATGTCATAGATTGACTTCATGATCGCCAGCATCTCCTGAAGAGAAGAAGATGGAAGTGAAAGAGTTTAACTATTATAACTATTTATTGTTTTCCACCCACGATAAGTTCAAATATACAAAGCTCTAAGCTATACCACATGAATGAAAGTAACTTTACGGACATGGACAGAACAAGATTAAACATGGCATCTCTCATGAATGATACAGCACAACCAGAAAGACACTTACTTTGGTTTGAGCTGAAATTGCAGAGCATAGACTTAACATTACATTACCCTGAATATAATTTAGAAAAGCCAGAATGTAATGACACATAGATGATTAATTTCAATTTAACAAATTATAAAATTTATAATTTACGAATTATACGTTGAGTAGACCAACTTATCATTGTCAAAAAGTTGCGTATCCGATAACCCACATGTACCTCTTTGGTGATGTAGCCATCTTTATTAATGTCGTAGAGGTTAAAGGCCCAGTTGAGCTTCTCAGTGACTGAACCTCGGAGCAACACTGACAGGCCGATGACAAAGTCCTCGAAGCGGATTGAACCGTTTCTGTCGATGTCAAAAGCGTTGAACAGGAAGTGAGCGTAGGTGGTTGCATCTGTGGAAAAAAAGGGAAATGTAAGAGTCATGGATTTAGTGCACTCTAACTTCTTGACTTCACCTTGACCTCAAGCTTGATGTGGAAATAGAACTATTATTTTGACACAACCTGCTGCACTTCAGGAGTGGAATCAGGAGCTAGGAACATTATGGGAAACACTTAACAGGGGTCAGAGGGGTGTTAGCTACTTTAACTATCACAGGTTGTGCTGAACTCTGTTTGGTGCATTTAACCTCACTGCAATCTGTTATAATGTAGAATAACGTGAACTTGGCTGTTGGCTAGAGAGGAGCTCTTTATGGAGACAATGTTCAATTCATACTAATCGCTACAATTTTGTTCAATGTTGTCTTTATAACACTGGGGCTTTTGCAAGGTTAATGACTGAGTATAGTATATATAACAATACAGTATAGTAATGACTATAAAATATTTAAAACTAGCTGCACATCAACCAGCTACAACAGTAAAAGGTTGCTTATATATTTATGTACCAGTAACAATAATCCAATAATATAATCTACTAATCTAATATAATGAAAGGAGGCACTCTACAGTGCTTTTATTTTTGATACTTTAAGTAGATTTTGCTGAAAATATTTCTGTAGTATGATTTTGAATGCAGGTCTTTTACTTGTATTTTTTAAAATGATGTATTATTACTTTAACTTAGGAATTTACTTCTTCCACCATTGTAATGATCCAACATATTAACTATTTTTGATCATGCACGAAAATGAAACAACTCTGAACCGACCCATCCCCTAATAATTTATCATAGTCTCTAACAAGACAGAACAGGAGAGGAGAGATTGTTTTAACATCTAACCTCCTTGGGGAAAGAACTGAGAATAGATGGACTTGAATGTCTCCTCATCGACCAGCCCACTGGGACACTCCTGCTCAAGAGAGGTAGAAAAAAAGAGATATATATTAGAATAATTCAAGTCTATATAAAGCATAATGATGACGGAAAAGCAATTAAGACCGTCTCAGCTGCCGGCAGCCAGACGTACATTCTTAAAGCCTCGATAGAGAGACTGAAGCTCCTTCCTGGTGAACTTGGTCTGAGCCTGCAGCTGGTCCAGCCCCTCCGGCTGGTGACGCACCGTCGACAGCTCCAAATCACTGTCGCTGCTGTCTGTGGGAGAAAGAGAGAGAGACAGAAAGGGGTGGATAGACAGACGGGAAGAGAGAGAAGCAGGAAAGAGAGAGAAGCAATGTAGAGAGAGAGAGAGAAAGATGGAGAGAAAAAGAAGGAGGATGGGGCAGACATTGAGTGTGTGATGCAGGTCAACATTTGGGGAGGGGTGGGATCACACATTCAACAGGGAGGCATTTGTTATAGAGGAGGCGGGGAGAACGTGTGAGCTTCAGAGAGAGGTTTAGCAAAAAACTGCAGAGGAGCAAAAGGCAGGCAAACAAGGGAGTAAAAAAGAAGAGGAGGTACTTTCTTTATGGTGGAAATGTCACCAAACAAGTATCGTTTTGTTCTTTAAAAAAAAACAAAAAAAAAACAGCCACTGCAGAAAATCTGAATTTGAGAAAATCAATTGAAAACGACTTTTTTTTTTTTTTTTACTCACAGAGCAAATCACAAAAACACAATCAAGTGTCACGGTGTTATTGGTTTTGAGTTCACACACACTAAGAGAAAGCACTGCACGGCTGGGAGAAGGAAAACATTCAAAAAAAAAAGGAGGGAAGTTTTCTCCAAGTATAGTTTGGGTTTCTACGGTTACCATACTCACCATCTTTACACAGAGAGAACAGAAGAGGAGGAGGGGTGTTGACACCAAGATGGAGTGAAAGAGAGTAAATGAAGAACAGTGGGAGAGTGATAGTAAGAGGAAGAAAAAAAAAAACAAAGATAACAAGTCAAGTCACTGAGTCACTGATAGGATTGTACAGTGAGCGCTGAGCAATCCAGAGGCAAAGTTATTCTGATAAAACATCCAGCGGAGCAGTGGCACATAATATACTGTGAAACATCAACCAAAACAGACGAAGAGGGAATTGGAGGCAGGAGGTGATCCACTCTTATGTAATATTGCATTGTTCCTTTAGGGTTCATTTAAAACAATAAGAGAGCGCAGTCCTGCACAAAGTGAGAAAGAGACGGCAGGAGACGACCTCTGACCTTCTTCACCAGATGAATTCTCCCACTGAGAAAATGGGACCATGTGTAAAATCAGAAGTAAGTCTCCTATGTTTTGTATTGTAAACAAATTACTAAGCGATGACCAAACTATATATTTTTTTCATTTAGCATGAAATTTATTCTTAACCTTGGAAACAATATTTTGACTAAAATCTATCTTGTATCTACATTTAACACCACTTCTACGTAATGGTGCATTCATGTCATAATATCATAACTGGCTTGACCTACTTTTTGGCATTTGAATTTCCAAGGCATAATTAAAACAGGGAAACTCACACACGCCTGATAAAGACTGACCGATACATTAGTGGGCTGATTTCTTCAGCTCATACAAATCTCATTGCAGATAAATCAGTATTGGTGTTTATAATGGCAGATAAATTTGAAGAAATGAAAGTAATAGAAAGCCACAGATAAATGCTTCATCTATTTTACTGCGACCAGTGTGACCCCACTGTTGGCAGCTAGCTAAAGCCATGGTTTGTGAGTGGAAGACAGCTAATGAGCCAACAACATAATGGTGCTAATGTTCTGCCAAAATGACATAATGGCAAATATACCTGCGACTTGCATGTCTGAACATTTTAAAGATGTGACACAGTGCCTTTATAGAATTAATGCTAACAGCTTAGCTAAAGTCTGACCATCACATTTTAAAGCAAATGGCTAGAACTGGTAATATTTAAGGGATTATCAGACCAGCTGAAAAACTCTAGAAATGAACGTGTGCACACTGAGACAAGTAAATGATAGTGAAAGCTGTTTCAGACACTCCCCATGCTCCCCTCCGGATCCGAATAAAAAAAACATTATGTCTGTGTTTCTGTTAAATGACAGGGTAAGGTTAGGGAAAGATTGTGGCTTTGATGAGTGTTGTGAACTTTTTCTGTATTAAACAAGATCACGATCTTTCCCTGACCTTAACAAATGCTGTGAGTCCCTAAACACAACCATAAAAAAGGTTCATAATACTGCTGTCACTATCAGTGGATATTAAGGCGGGAAAGAAATAGTTGTCAGTGATAAATTCAGTATTAACATTTTTGCAACTTGTGAAATCTGTTAACCAACATTAAAATAATAGAACATGCAATCAGTTTGTAACCTTCTTTCTAAACCTATCTGCTGTGTTTGTTAGTAGTATGTAAGTGTTGTAATGTATGTACTGATCGGTTAAGATGTAGTGAAACGAGCAGTAACACTTTGTTGGTTCTGGTTGTCGAATATTACCAGCCCTGTTCTTCAAAGTCTAATTCATTTTGCCATAATAGCCTTTGAAATTATCTCGCAATTGAATCCCATTTAAACAAAAAAACAACTTTATTATTTACATCCTTTGTGGTTGTCTCATCTTTGTTAGCACTTCGACTCTTCTCGTGATTCATATATAGGCAGACAACATTCACAAACAACATTAAAGTAAAGAAAAAAAAATGCTCTCCAGCCTCCTCACTCCATGTCCTCCTCCTCCTCCTCCTCCTCCTCCTCCTCCTCCTCCTCATTGCCCCTCTCCCTGGTTGTCTCACCGGTCTCGGTGATGTCGATCAGGCCCAGCAGGTGCATGAGTTTGAGGAACATGATCACCAGGCAGACGATCCCAACTGTCTGCAGACCCTCCGTCTCCCACCTCACACTCATCTTCCCCTCGTCTTCTATCTTTTCTTCCACGGTCCTTTCTTTCCTTTTACCCTCTACTACATTATCGGTTTTTCTACACACCTCTCCTTCAGTCCTCCCTTCCCGTCTCTGAAACAGCGTCACTCACTCATCACTTTTTCTGTCACAGTTTTTTCCCGCAGTTTCTGTTACTCTATATAGCTCTCTCCTTCTACCTTGTTAATTGACTGCCTTTTTCCCCCCGTGCTCTCTCCTGCTCTAATGGATCTTTCAGGATATTTTCCACAACTAAAAGCAGGGTCTGACGGTCTTTTTTTAAGGTCAAATGGATCAGATTATTGCTGTAAAAATGCCTTCAAAGAGCGAGAGAGAGAGACAGAAGGAGAGAAAAAAAAATCTGGACCAATACGATAATCCATGGAAAATCCAAGCAAATGAAGAGCAAGCTCAGATACTCTCACATCACATTTTTTTTTTGGCAAAAGCAGTTGGTTTGGGATTCCTCCAGTGTAAATTATTCCTCTAATGGATGACAAAACTCTCATCAAAGATCCAAACGACGTCCAACATTTATCCACTGAGCGCTGACTGAGTGACTGAACTCCTCTATATCCTCCCTCCATCTCGCATCCTAGTTTCTGATAATTAACCTGTGAACTCCTGAGGAACCAGGGGAGAGCTACAATTCTCCCATTTTCATCAAAACAATTACATAAAAGACAGCAAACACGTCGAGGCACTGAGCACTGTAGCTTTAAATGGATTGCACTAATAAAGGTTTTTAACTCTTTTTGCTAAATGTGACATACAGAAAACAATTTGCCTTTAAGGAACCAGAGAGGGGGGTGGCAAAGGTCAACAGGTGTCCTGAATCCCATTTCCCCAGTCAGCTCTGTGATCCACTTTCTAATTGTTCCCCTGACTCTCCTGGGGTCTGTAACACAGATTTAATGCTGCATTAACTCAGTGGATTCCTGTCACACGCTCATACTCATGTAATAACGGGAAACAGCGAGCAAACGCTCCCTCGGGTCCTGTGACACTTGTTCAAAACTCATTTCATTGTCTCATCTTGGAGGAGAGGCTGCTGCTTCTCCGTAGTGGAGACTAATGAAACAACAGGAACAGAGACGGTGCGCAGGCACACGCATTAAACTGAGATTTACAATGTGAACAGGTAGCCTAACGTCATCCCAGAGGGAGAAAATTCCTCTTTCTCTCTATTCACAATTAAGATCCTTTGCCCCACGGATATCGTGCCCCACCCAGTATGTGAAATATTTACCCAATCTCAAACAGAGAGAGAGAGAGAGAGAGAGAGAGAGAGAGAGAGAGAGAGAGAGAGAGAGAGAGATTGACCGAAATAGATAATCACCACAAAATTTTACTTCAGTACTTGAGTAAATGCACATACAGTATGTGGCCTGAGAGGGGAGACCACTTGCTGCTAGTCCTTAAGCCCGTTGCTGTGAGTACACAGTGATAACTGAAGGCAAGTCAGCTGAACATAACAACATCTGTGAAAAAAACTTTTGAAGAGTGAAGGGAGCATGTGTCCAGGGGAAATTAATTAACCACTGGGGACAGATTGGAGTAAGGAAATCGTTATAGTTATCAGAGGAGGACCTAAATGCAGACACACACAAAGGCAGGTAAATGCAGTAAAGGTACTTTGATAAGTGAACAAAAGCTGGTTTCCAGGCAGACGGGTGGATAAACAGGAGTTCAGGAAGGCAGGGCAAGAAGGAAACCAAACTCAGGTGATCCAAACTCAGGTAGCTAAACACAGGGTAATACTCAGGAACATGTACAGGAACAAAAAACAGTGACAAAGGCTGACAATAAACACTGTGGAGCTAATCAGGAAACTAGAAACAGGTGTGTAGGTTGGCAGGGAAACTCAGGTGATTACTAACAGACATCAGGTGACAAAAAAAAGTGATGGGGAAAAAAACACAAAAAACACAAAGGCAGGAAGTAAAGCCACAACAGACACATAAGGGAAGCAATTTCAAAATAAAACAGGAAATAACACAGGAAGAAGTCCAGGAAGTCACACAGGGGTTGATCATGACAGAAATACTACCTGTAAATACTTTCCTTTAGAGATACCACTCATCAGTCGGTACATTATGAAGATATTCTGAGCATAATCTACTCCTTGAACCGTAGAACAACTCTATGCTATTCTCTCAACCTAAGCAAGGAATAGTAGGGATCTTGTCTTTATGTGTATTGTGTTTATTATTGGTAAAAATTTGGGTTTTTTAAATCTTGGGTTAGTAAGAGTTTTTCAAAATGTTTTAACTTCAGGTTCAGAAACTAGACGGAAGGTTGTTTCTATTATCCTGGTAGAAATAAATGGCTAAATGCAGTTTTTGCCCATAAACGCACATTATAAGCAATCGGTTAATTTATTTGGAAAAAAAACTGATGAACAAATGAAACAACTTTTTTCCTTCCCATCTCTCTGTTCAGTATATTGATGTTTTTCACTAAAATATCCTGCACGAGAGTCAAATGTGGAGTAAAAATACCAGATATCGGTATCAGAGAGCCTCAGAATAGGGCTCATACATCTCTAAAGACAAGGCTACTTCATGGCATTGATGCCATCCCAAAATAGGACTGAGCTGGACTGAACCCAAAATCGACATCAGAGCAGAGAGGACCAGAGTGAAACAACAATCAAAGGCACAACGGTTTCATCTGAGATCAGATCATTTAACTGGATTTTAAACACGCACACATGTGTGGACAAACAAATTCAAGTCTGTGCACACACAGTGAGTGTGAAGTTGTGCATTTATTTTGTAGAGCAAAATCTGAAGGATCATTTCTTCAGTGCTGATGATATAAATAATGCAACAAATAAACTATTAGAGCTTATTGACCTGCTGACTGATAAAGGGCATCTAATGTACCGCTGCTAAATATGGAATATCTGAGTGCACAGTATCAAAATGGATTTTAATGTGTTTTAAGACATTCAAAAATATGCTGCTTAAATATTGATTTGTCTGATACACACATCTTACGTTATATTAAAATGAATATCTTTCAGTTTTTAGTTTAGATTGTAAATAACTAGCTACAGGGCTACTTGTAAAATGTCAGCTCTTCTTGATGTCATTACATCCTCCTTAATCCCCAGAAATATTACTAAGCACATGACCACAGTATCCTCAGTTTTAACTCCGACCCTGATGGAGCTGTAGATGTTCCTTTAACAGACAAGAAATATAGGCAACTACAAAATGCCTCCTAAACATCCCCAGAACTGAATCAGCACCACAGTGAGAGTCTCGATAACAACTGTGATCATCACAAGGCTGATGTTCAAAGCAGGGCTGCCACAGGTAGTTGAAGAAGTATTCAGATGTTTGACTTAAGTAAAAGCTATACAAAAAGTAAAAGTCTTGCATTCATAATCCTACTTCAGTAAAAGTACAGAGGAGTTGAGAGTAAAATGTACTTAAAGTAAAAGGTCTGGTTCTGGTTCAGAAACATGGCTCCTGGAAATTATATTATTATGTATGACTTTATTGTTAATCTTAATGTTGTAGCTGCTCGAGGTGAATATAGTTTTAATATGTTAATATGCAGTTAATGGTTCCCAAACTAGGGGTTGGGTCCCTCCAAAGGGTCACAAAATAAATCTGAGGGGTCATGAGATGATTAATGGGAGAGGGGAAAAAAACAACAACAAAGTTTTGATATTATAATATAATTTTACCTTTTGCTCTTTTGATAATGACTGAATAGTTTTACTTTACCTATATCTTGGCCGTGAAGTTATTTTAAAAGAAACCACGTGAAATGTGTCTTTATTGGAAATGCTAACAACTCATCTGAAATTTGTGTCCATGACGCGACAGCTCCTGCTGCTTTTTTTTTTATAGCAGTTTACAAACTCTGAAGACTGTATTGTATTGTACTTCATAAACCGATCATATATTCCTCCAGTTACTCCAGCTGATAAATGTAGTGAAGAATAGATATAGGTAAGTACAAACACCTCAAAACATTCCTTAAGCACAGTACTTGAGTAAACATAGAGTTACTTTCCTCCACTGACTCCTGTTTTGAATCTATTTCTATCCAAAGCCAGTCAGCAAAGAGCGCAACATCTGGACTTTTGAATTTCCCAACATGAAGAGAGGTGAACATGTAAAGAAAAGCAAAAGACGCCTTAAACTGACAATATCTGCTGCCAAATAGTTGAAGCAGGTGAGTTAATGACACTGTAGTTAGTAAATTAGTCCCGTTGGGAGATGATGGAGTAATGAAGTGGCAGGAATGGGGATGAAGACACATGAGGAGAAATTCGGAGGCTACTGAGGGATGGCCAGTGTCCTTCAGGGTCCTGGAGGAGTACTCCAGGCTCCATATTTAGGCGGTCTCAGAGAAAGCCTGTTCGATACTGCATGTATAATTGATGTGAAGTAATGCTAAACCGAGGTGTGGGCCCTGCCACAGCATGAGGAGAAGAAAGAGGAGGACAAGGTTGGGGGGGGGGGGGGGGGGGGGGGGGGGGGCACACTATTGGAAAAACTAAAGATTGGAGAGATTCAGAGGAATTATAAATTATGAAAGGGCATTACTGATGTTTTTGTTGTATTTATTACTTATGATGCTGGGCCATAAGAGAACCACTAATGTGCCGACTGGAGCCTTCCTGCTGTAATTGTCTTGGCAAACTGACTGCAGGCCACTCTGACTGGCTGGCCTTCAGCCCAAACCTTTAATCAAAGGGAACTGCATCATTCAAAGAGCAGTATCTGATGTCTCTTTTACAGTCCCAAATGCACACAGTCTATTGGCCCATCAATGTTTTATGGTATATCCCTTAGTAGGCAAAATAAAACATCCCATTAACCTCTTTCCACTCTGATGCCATAGATTTGCTGACAGCCCAGAATTAATATTATGTTCACAAACATCAAAACATACTTTCCTACTAATTCTATTTTATGAATTAATTCT